ACATATATGCATATACCACACAGACATACAGATGCACACAATAAATATATGAGTAAATAAATGAACGACATGAACACTAATGATCAGAGAAAAATGTACAAATGAAAGAGCTTCCCATGGCTAAATCTGTAACAATTTGATCAAGAAAATGGTTTTATAGATTTTAACCTAAAATATAAAATAAAAAACTAAGTCCATACTGGTATAATTTAATAAAAATTAATAAATGAAGAGACAAGTCTTTAGAATTTCTTCTCCTCTTCTGAGACAAGGTTTCACCATGTGGCTTAGGCTAGCCTTGAACCCCTGAGCTCAAATAATCCTTCCGCCTTAGCTTCCCTAGTAGCAGACTATGCAGACTATACCACCACCCCTGACAAGAAATTTTTAAAAATAATGTATGTAGACACTTGCCCTCAGGGAGGTCACTCCTGTTCCTCAAGTGTGGGCTGTTATAACTAGTGATTTCCTCCTAAAGAATATAGAATGGAAAGAAGAGAAAAACATATGTCCTTTCATAAAGGAATAGTGGAAAAGCAATGGATGTATACTTACTAGAAGCACTTGACAATCAAAAGGTTTCAGTAATTTGCTTTGCATTAGAAGAATGTGAAAAATGAATGGTTAAAGATCTGGAATGTAGCTCAGTGATACAGGGCTTGCCTGGCATGCTTGAGGCTCTGGCTTCAAGCTCCTGCACTGCAAATAGCTTCAAGCTCCTATCACTGCAGTGTTATCTGTAACACTGGAAATGTCAACTGGTAGATGAACATTTTGTGTAGATGCTAACAAGTTCATGCATGACAGACCATTTGGACCAACACTCTAGACCTATAGCTTATAAAGGCAGTTACTTCAAACTAGCACCTGGCAATTAAAAAATTCCAGTCCCGGACACTTTTGAAAACCTTTTATTTTCGATTCAAATCAGAGATGGGGTGATGGGATCAATGGGATGCAGGAGAGTTGATTTCATATTAGCACAAGCCTACCTCCTTAATCTTTAAAATAATCATAAATAGCTCAGAGGAATTAAAAATATAAGAACACAGGCTGGGGCTACATATAGATCAGTGGTGGAATGCTTGCCTACTATGCATGAGGATTGAGTTCCATCCTCAGTAACAACAAATTAATAAATAGAAAGAAGCATAAATGAAAAACTTAGCTGGGAGATGAATGTGAAGGTATCTCCCAGAAAATAAACCAGAAAGGCAGAACTAAAAAGACAGGAAGATGGGCTATGAAAATTAGACAGCCAGTCCAGGAGATCCCTATCACAAGAAACATAGGGCATGGCAGCAATGACAATAAACACAGGGGACTTGCTTGCTAATATAAAAAAAAAAATCCTAAATTGAAAGGGACCACAGTGGGTAAGAACATGGCCACAGCAAGAACTATCAATGTGACAAAACAGAACACTGGGGACACCCACACACAAAAAACCCTTCTAAGCATTTACTAGGAGGTAGGGAGAGGGAGTTATGCATACAAATGATCAGGTATTAGGCCTGCTTTAGACTTTTAACAGTAACACTGAATTTGGAAGACAATACAGCAATATCTAAACCCAGCTAAAATATTCCTCAAATGTGAAAGGAAATGAAATTTTCAGACATGTAAAATCTCAAAATTTATACCACAAATGCTTATTTTCTCCACAAGTTACTTGATCTGTGGTATGAATAGGTATGATCTTCATAAACCCATGTATTTGAATGCTTGCCCCCAAAGGGAGTGGCATTATTAGGAGGTGTGGCCTTGCTAGAGTATGTGTGGCCTTGTTGAAGGAAGTGTGTTCCTGTGGGGCCTTTGAAGTCTCATATGGTCAAGCTAGGCCTACTGTGGCAGTCTCTTTCTGCTGCCTTTGGATCAAGATGTAGGATTTTCATCTCTTTCTCCATCAGCATGTCTGCCTGCGGGCCACCATGTTTCTTGACATGACGACAATGGACTATAAACCCCTGAAACTATAAGCCAGCTCCAATTAAATGTTTTCCATAAAGGAAATAAAATTTTCAGACATTCGAAATCTGAGTTGTCATGGTCATGGTAGATAGCAATAGAAACACTAAGATACTTGAAGATATAGTAAAGGGAAGATATGTCCTTTGAAAATAGGAAACAAGACAACATGAGATACCGGAAACAATCCAAGACAGAGCAAAGGAAGCACTCAGAATGGTACTGAAAGGGAAATCCCCTGATAATTGGCATATGCTAGGCCTGGACAGAGGCCCTTGGGAAAGCCCTCTCCAGAAAACTAAATGGCTGGCTAATGGTTATTCCCACAAAAGAAGATTTAGATAATGACAATACATCAAAAGAAAAAAAATCCCAACCTTCTCACTGGAAATAAGGGCCCAAACAATGTTTTTTGTGTCTTTTTCTGTTTTATAAAGAAAATTTGTTCTGGTTTATTTGCTTTTTTATTTGCCTGTTTGTTTTCTAAAGAGAGAATGAAGGGTTGGAGTTGGATGGGTGTGGAAGTGAGGAATATCTAGGAGGACAAGGGAGAGAAGCCATGATCAGAACATATTGTATGCATTTTCAATTAAAAAAAAAACAGGAATTCAAGCAGCTTACTTAACCATAGATACTAACTAACCTTACACAATCATGAAAGAACACTCAGGATGGAGTTAGAGGGTATGGAGGAGGGACAGAAAGCATCCAGGTGTACAACACAGGGGGAGATGGGGACACAACAGAACAACTAAAAAACTAACAGTGAATACTCATAATGTGAAGCCAATAGTGGACACCTGCTGCTGAACGACCACAAAGTCAAGTCAGGGGAAAGGAGGGCTGTGAGAAGCTAAAATGGCTGCTTGAAGGGAGGGAAAATGAGGGGGGTGAGGCAGAGGATTAGTCTGTACCAAACCCTATACAGTATCTGTCCCTTATATAGACATGCATATATAACTTAACAAAAGCTGAAATACTCATGTATCATTGTCTACTTTTTTAACTGAAGCAGGGAGTGGAGAATCTGTAATTGGTTACGAGTCATTAGTTGTAAATACTACTACATGCAGACCTGCTCTGATATCTATTTTAAGAAGGCAATATGATAAATATCTACTGAAAAAAACATTTAATGTTGTTAGTAGAAAAGCTTTAAGTCCTAACACAAGCCAATACTGAACTTTAATTATAAGCAAAGGTTATGAAATATGGAGTGAGGCCTAAGAATATGAGGCAATTAGTTTAAAAGCCATTTCTTTCTCGAGTTTCTCTTTCAGGTTCCTCCAACTGCGTTTTTAAGGCTAATTATATCTGTGGGTGAAAGTGGTTTGATGCAGACAGGGCCTGTGCCCTTCTGCCTTCAAGACTTCAAAAATACCAGGCTTGGCAAAGTAGGAAGTAACAATGATAAAATGTGGGTTTGAACAATAATTACAGAATGGACTAATATAGACTGAGAGGCTTAACATGCACAGATAGATTAAACCAAATACACAATTCAATTCAGTTAACAGTTTTAGTGTACTGTGCTTCAGTCTAGTTCCCTTTGTACTGAAGAGAAATGACAACCCAGTTTCCAAAATACCAATAGATTTCAATATGACCATGATTCTATACAAATGCAAGTCAAAATCAGCTTATAACTCTCTTGTGTGCATACATCCAAAGGACCAAATTAGAAATTAATTACATTCTTTTACCTCTACCACAAGAAACATTGCCCTTAATATTGTTATTAATAGAAAATATATTCTTAAACCAGCTGGCTAGTACACAACTTAAACTAGTGCTTAAGTCATATAAGCACTCTCTTTGCACTTAAGGTGACTACATTGGCTATTACAGGATCAATGGCTTAGGTTCTAAAGTCACACTTTGGCTGCTATGAACAGCAATCATTTCTTAAATCTTGTATAATTGACAGTTCTCTCCATCTTTAAAACTGTGGCTAACATTCATTCGTAGAGATTTTCAAGTTTGAGTTTACTATATTTGGTCTTCAGGAAATGCTATTTTGAGGAAAACATAACAATCAGACATGAATGGTACAATAATACCCTCATAAACTTTCTCTAATAGCAAAGCATTTTTAACCCCTAAAAGAGGATGAACAAAATTAAAATTTTAATCCACCTGCCTCAGAAATAGGATTATGGACATGATTATTTTTGAACAATTTTCCACTTTCTGCATCTTACTTTTTGTCTTTCTTCTCTCCCCCAGCGCCCCCCCCCCAAAGCCTCTGTATATAACTAAGTAGCACAAGGCTTGGATCTCTAGGTCTTTCTGTCTTAGCCTCTCAGCCTCTTGAGTACTGGAATTCCGGGCTTGTACTGTTAGGAATCGGGCCCCCTCCACTCCCAGTCTGCCTTCAAGAACTCAGGGCTACCAGCCACTTCATCCCCAGCCACCAAATGTGACATGTGTACCCTTTAAAATGCCCCACCATCACAGATAGCTTTCTCGACATCATGGATAGATCTCCCCCGCCCCTGTCCACACCTGGCTCTAGTTCTTCAGTTTAAAAAATGTTAATAGTTGCTCAGCTTTTGATATAACTAGGCATTAGTTTATGGAAAAAATATAATGAATGTACAGTGTGATCTATGAACCAGGTATGGTTGTATACATCCATAATCCCAGTTTCCTGGTAAAATTAAACTACAGCCCCAACCCTGTTTGGTTTAGTTTAAGGATGAAGTCTTGCTTTGGACTTGTGGTCTTCCGGCCTCACCCTTTTCAGTAGCTGGGATTATGGATGTATGCAATCACACCTTGTTCAAAGTTATCTCCTTAACAGTTGATACAACATCTGCTGTGCATACATCAGAAAATCTAGAAATATTTGTTTTCTTTTATGACAGATGCAAGCTTTCAGAACTCATTATAGGTTTTCCATAAACTAATGCCTACAAGAAAAGTCCTACCTTCTATTGAAATGAACAGGAATGAAATGAGTTCAGTTAACATTCTCTGTTCCCAATGGCTACCTGTATTAGCAGAAGCAAGTACAGAAAATTCTAACATACCTGCAGGAGAAGAAAGCCACCGCCTACTGCAGTTGCTGCAAGTTTTCCAACTTTCTGGAATAAAAATCCTGCACACCTTTAATGACAGAAATAACAAAAGATGAGAACAATCAGTGATGCACTAAATTTCTTCATTTTATTGCTTTGCTAATAAAAGCTTAATGTCTTCCCATTTCTTCTGATAACGTCCCTTGCCTGCTCAGAAACCTTCAGTGTTTTCCTTCAGTCATACAGGGTAGTTAAAAATGCACACTCTACAATGTCTGAGATTTACTACAAAATGAGAAAAAGAGAGAAGAGGGAGACTTAAAAGGAAAAAAATAGCAGCTACTGAAAACAATTGTGAATACTTGGGCTTATCGTACTCCTTCTACATTTGTGTAAGCTGAAATTTCCCACAGTAAGTCATTTGCTTGTTTTGCTTAAAGCAGTTAAGGAGTTCCATATATCTGGCCAACACTCACTCTACCTAAACCAGCTCTAACCCAGTTAGTTTCAAATGCATCATCTTTATTTGAGCTGTTAATCTTCCCAATTCTATAGACTCCTGCCTAACGCTGCCTAAGAAAATCCTTCTTGTCATTCCACTTTTACATTGCCCACATTTCTCACAGCCCCCTTATCTAGTATTGATTTTCTGTATTAAGCTTGTTTTGTCTCATCTAACTGTGGAGTATCACCCTATACCTCGAGTGAACTCACAGTCCCACTATTCCAGCTCCAAACAGCACAAAAGAAATCCAGATTTCTAACCCTAGCCTTGTGCACTGAATTGATGTCTCCCCCAAATTACTATCCTTCATGAGACTTTACTTGGAAATATGATCTCTGTTGATGTAATTAGGTAAGATGAAGTCATACTGGAACATGGCAGGTCCTTAATTCAGTATGAGTCATGTCACAGGGACGCAGACACAGCCAAAACAACTGCTACTAAGGTTCTAATTTCTATGTGAGGGTACCATTCTCCATTTGTCACTTCACATTCATTTCAGACTGAAAGTTCTCTGTGCCCTGTCTTTAAAACTGTTTTTTATTTTTATTCTTTTGTTACAATTTTTTGCAGTGTGTGCACGCGCACTCACACAAGCATGTTTAAACTCAATGTACATGAGTTGATTCTCTCTGCCATACGGGTCGTAAGATCCTGTGGATAGAACTCATGTCACCAAGCTTGGCATCAAGCCTACATGCTGAGCCATCTTGGTAATGTATTTTGGGATTCCATGACCATGTTCTGACAATACCAGAAACAGTCTTGAAGGCCTCCAGGTCTCCTAGAAATCACTCATTCTCACACTAGTTTTCATTTCTTATGGTCAAAAACCTACAGCTTTACCTACAGCTAAATACAATCTCCTTAGTTAAATACAAACCAATTTCCTATCTTGAATTGCTATGAAGCATTAAGTTAGGTTCATGCCTATTAACCGTTTCTCTTTTATACCACATTATCACACTAAAGCTATATCCTAAGAAACATTTCAAAAATTTACTTCAGTGAATCTACACTAAGTCCAAGTCATTACAGCAAATCACCTATGTAGCTGCCAATGTCATTCAGAGGTAGAGTGCTTGCCTGCTATATGCAAGGCCCTGAATTTACACCAACACTAGATAAAAGCAAAAAACAAGCCATAGGATGGCTCAGCAGGTAAAGGCACTTGCCACCAAGCCTGAAGACCTGAGTTTGATCCTCAAAACCCACATGGAAGAGAGATATGATTCCTATAAGCTGTCCTCACATGTACTGGGACATATCTGTGCTCCACACACAAACAGATGGATGTCAAAACAAAACAAACAAACAAACAAACAAAAAAACGAAAACCCACCAACTATTACATAACTCCTGGGTTGAATACTTGGCAAATACTGATAATCCAACTGTATGTATTATCATTATCAAGAATGTATCTATCCCTCATACAGGAGTCAGTAACAAAGGCTCAGAAAGAGACAAAGAAGTAGGCAAATCTCCACAAAGCTGTGTAACACTGCTAGCAAGCATCAGTCACTAAGATGACCCTACTAATTTCTGCTCTGCCTTTTTAGGCTTTTCAAGAAAACCGGGCAATTATGGGCCTTCTTACCAGGTTTGGTCTACAAGAAGAAAATGTGCAGTAATCTTGTATTTCTCAATTATTTTTAAAATGCCTTTTAACACTGGGCTTTTGGCCATGAATCCATCTAAACAATCACCTCTGGCAGCAAATTATGAATTGATTTAAGGGGGACGGAGATACACCCTACAGTGAATCATCAGGGTGACCAAGGCCCTCAGCAGAAATTTCTGTTCTAACTGCATGCTTGTTCGATAAAGCAGTATACATACTGTGCCTGTGTGCCTTGGAATCTTCACAATAGTCAGGTTTTGTTTGTTTTAAATTATAAAAGGACTTTTAGAAGAAGGCATAGGGAGCCATGGAAAACACACATTAAGAAATTCCATTTGCCCATGCCACGTGGAAGTATGTAAGTATTTTAATTAACAAGATGTTCTCACCAGCCAGTCACACCACCCATTACAATCTGGGTAGCTACTGAGTATTTTTCTACCATGGGTCCCGAAGTGTGGCCAAATACTCGATTCCACCAGTGGTGTCTTCTTGCATACTCAGTTAAATCCAACACTTCGTAAGATTCGTCATCGCTTTCATAGTCTTTAAAAAACACAAGATGAAAACATAAATCGAATCAATCTATACTCAGAAACTTCTCACAAATTGTTTTCACAAAACGTGACAATTCACTCTCATGTCTGGCCTACAACTAAAAATGGCCAGATGGAAACGAATGGGCAAGATTACCTCGATTCCTGAGACTAGGGCCTCGAGAGTAAGGAACATAGCAATGGCATCCCCATTTCCTTTTCAAAGACATAGGGACACACATCTAGGGGCCAACTGAGTTACAAAGCAGCGAGCTGTTAGCCGCCCAGTCAGAATAAGGTCCATTTCCTTCTGTGGCAAAAGGGGGAAGGGATGTTACTCCCCTCAAAGAACAGGTCAGGAACCCAGCCAAGGAAATCAGATCAGGGCTTAAACGCTACCAACCAATCAACCCACCAAACCCCCTACTGTAGCAAGATGGAGAAGGGCTCGAGGTGGGGGCAGGGCAGGCTTCGGCCTTGGTAGATGTAGGGGAGCATAATGAGTTCCGCAGAGAGGGGAAGGAAACGTCAGGTTCGGAGCGGGGGTTGCTCAAAGGGGCTGTGGAGCGACCGAGCCCCACGAACACTGGAGGAGGGGAAGGGAGAAGCACTACAGGAGCAAGGTCGAGAGCTGTGGGCCGCGTCCCAGAGACTTCGGGCCCTGGCTGCTCACCTTGGGGAGGGGGGTTCCGGGACGCCATGATACCGCCGGCGGCCAGTTCAGGGTGGTCCCTGCCCGCCCTCCTCTCCCCCAACACTTTAAAGGGCGCTCTAGGCCGAGGAGGAAGTCTATGGTCTCTCTTTTTCCTCAGCCTCCTCCACCTCCTCCAGACAGTCTTGTCACCGCCCACTCTTCCCAGCACAGCGCCCTCAGCACTTCGTGCGCAGCTGCAACGCCCAGGATTAGGGATGGGCTAGTTGGGTCGCCGCCCTTCGAGGTTCATGGGTATTGTAGTCCCGTGCTCTTCTCCACTGGTGGGCCTGGGCATCTCCCTCTTAAGAGTTTCCAAGAGAAAATTTCGTTTTTGTTTGTTTTTTTAAACTGAAGGATTGGGTGGAGGAACCGCACGGGTAATAAAACAGGAAAGCCAGTTTGGTGTCTGTGAACTGTCCTTAACCAGTCTTTAGTCAGGATACTCCTCTGAAGCTGTCTTTCTGATTAGGTGCCATCCTAAGGTCCTATCTTTCGTCTCCAGTTGTTGCAAGAATCCTGTTGACGTTAACAACATTTTCACCCCCGCTCCTCACTTGATATCTAATATCCCAGACCTTTCTCCAGAAACCCTTTTAAATTAGCTCAGCAATAAACCCTGCTGCCCTGATATCCTTTTGCTAGGGTTCCAAGCCTTCCAATCTCACTCAGATTATGCACTATAAATATCTCCACCTTTTTTTTTCTGTGTTCCAAGTTGAAATGGATCCATTACCCATATTAACACATGTCAAGATAAGTTTTAAAGGTGTCTCGTTAAAAAGAAAAGTGTTTTAAGCACTATATCAGCAAAAGATAAGAGAACTGCCTGTTCCAAGCCACGTTTCTTAACAAATTTCCAAGGACTCACCAAGGACAGATGTTTGTTTGTTTGTTTTTGTTTTTGTTTTTCGAGACAGGGTTTCTCTGTGTAGCTTTGGAGCCTGTCCTGGCACTCTCTCTGGAGACCAGGCTGGCCTTGAACTCACAGAGATCCTCCTGCCTCTGCCTCCCGAGTGCTGGGATTAAAGGCATGCACCACCAACGCCCGGCTTTCTTTCTTTCTTTCTTTCTTTCTTTCTTTCTTTCTTTCTTTCTTTCTTTCTTTCTTTTGTTTTTAGGACAGAAGGTTTTTAAAGGACAGTGTTGCTAGGAAGTATAGGACTGCTCTGATGGAATTGTTTGATAGTCAAGCAGGCATAACTCTTTAGCTCATTTTTTGTTTGTTTGGTTGGTTATTTTTAGACAACATCTTACATGGCTCAGGATTCTCTGCAACTCCCTATGGAGACCAGGTTGGCCTGGGACTTACAAAGATCCATCTCACTCTGTCTCCCCTGTACTGGGTTTAAAGCACCATCACCAAGCCCTGCTGGCTCATTTGTTTTTACACGTCCTCACTGTGTAGCTCAGGATGGACTCCAATGCTGGCTTCCTCTGTCTCACTCTCTCCAGTACTGTGATTACTGACATTCACCACAATGCTGAGATTTAGAATCATTGTTATTGTTTAAATCTGACATAGGGATCCTTGGTGTTTTCACAAAGATCCATGGAATTCTCTAGAGATGTTGGGTACCAAACAGGTAATCCAAGTTCACATAAACTAGAACTAAACTTATGTAAAACATGAACTCTATCTGAATTATCTGTGTAGTTAAACTGAATAGCCTGTTTTGTGATAACATTAGTGGAAAGTTAAGACATTCTAGTATAAAGTACATTATTTAACAATATTGGCTTTGCAGTTGATATTTCAAATCCTGGCAGTTTAAAAGCCTCTTATTAAGTTTTTCATTTATATAACTTGCAAATGTCTTTCGGTTATTTTTTTGGTTGGGATAGAGTACCTCTAAGCAGGTAATATTCCTACAAATTAAATTACTTACCTTTTCTATCCTTCATATTATAATTCTAATTTGTAATAATTATTAAGGAACTTCTGTTTCTGAGCGCTTACCTTATCTATGCAAATAATTATTAGCCTTTAGCTTCATTTCTGATTTCCTTTAAGGGGTTTAGAAAAGCGAATTTTCTCTACTGTGGTCTAATGAGATTCCACTATCTACCAAACTAGCAAGACATGTAGACAACAATGACAATCACCTCACTTCATGTCAGTGAAGGGGGGGGGGTGCAGAATTGGGAATAAAGGAGAAAGAGAACAAAGACAAACACTCCAAACATGGGGCAGGAAGAGAATATAAGGCAAGAGAGAGGTGCCAAAGGTGAGAGTATTGGAAAATGTAAACATCGATATAAAACAAGATAGTTTAATCAATGCTGAAATAATGTACCTATTCTAAGGTGACTAAGTTCATCACACTGCTGATTCCCCCACCAAAAGAAAAGAAATGTTTTTTATCCACATGTAATTACTACATAAACATTTAGGGCTAGGGCTGTAGTTCAGTTGTAGCCTGTTTACCTAGCATCTAAAAGGCCTTGGGTTAAAATCTTCATGCCATAAAAAAAAATCAGAATAAATTTTTTTAACATTTTAGAGAGAGAGAGAGAGAGAGAGAGAGAGAGAGAGAGAGAGAGAGAGGTGTGTATGCCAGAAGAGGACATTGGATCTAGCTGGAGTTACAGGTAGTTGTGAATAGCCTGATGTGAATGCTGGGAATTGAACTCAGGTCCTCTGCCGGAGCAGCACATGATCTAAACCACTGAGACATCTCTCCAGTCCCTAAAACTATTAGTATGACTGAACCTACACTCATTCTATATTGCCTCATATTCCTTCCTAAATTAATAATGGGACCAAAAAATTCATTTTCAAGATAATAAAATCAGCCAGGTGTTGGTGGGACAGGCCTTTAATCCCAGCACTCGGGAGGCAGAAGCAGGCTGATCTCTGTGAGTTCGAGGCCAGCCTATTCTACAGAGTGAGTGCCAGGATAGGCTCCAAAGCTACACAGAGAAACCCTGTCTCGAAAAACCAAAAAAAAAAAAAAAAAAGATATTAACATCAGGCCCTTGAAATTGTTATTTATATCATGAGTTAATAACTTGTGAATCTAATCAAATAGCCAATGAGATGCATCTGATCTAGGGCTTTTAACTGAAATGATGGTTTTTCCATTGCTCCTTAGCCTGACGCATACAAAAATGCAACCCTAAGTGTTGGGAGCCATGCCTAGTCTCGGATCAAGATATGACTATTTGTCCAATGGGTTTCTATGGAACAAGACACCTGTGCAAACAGACTCTCACTTGGCAACGACCAGTCCAGAGGACAGCAGAGGAACTGGCAAAATTCGTGCAGCATGCAGGCTCTTTTCTCTCTCGTTATATTGGTGATTCTTTTTTTTCTTATTTTTTATTAGTTCAAATTAGGAACAAGCTTGCTTCACATGTCAATCCATTCTCCCTTTCCCTCCCCTCCCCCTAGCCCCCTACCCCATCCACCTTCCACTCCCCAGGCTGGGTAGGGCCCTTGACCGTGGCTCCCCAAAGTCTACCACATGATCCTGGGCCGGTCCTAGGCCCTCCCCCATGTGTCCAGGCCAAGAGTGCATCCCTTCACGTGGGATAGGCTCTTAAGCTCCCTTCTTACACCAGGGAACAATACTAATCCACTACCAGGGGCCCCCTAGAATGTGAAGGCCTCCTAATTGACATCCATGTTCAGGGGTCTGGATCAGTCCTGTGCTGGCCTCCCAGACAGCAGTCTGGGATCCATGTGCTCCCCCTTGTTCAGGTCGGCTATTTCTGTGGTTTTCACCAGCCTGGTACCAACCCCTTTGATCTTCATTCCCCCTCTCTGCAACTAGGTCCCAGAGTTCAGTTCAGTGTATATCTGTGGGTGTCTGCCTCTGCTTCCATCAGCCACTGGATAAGGGCTCTCGGTAGGGGTCAGGCTAGGTAGGGGTATATTGGTGATTCTTTGGGAGGTTTATAGTTTTATTTTGTGAGTCACATATGCAATAGCTGTAATATTCCCTGGAAATTCTGTTCCTTTCCAAATATTTTCCTCTAAGATTCAGCAGGGGAGCTAATGCTTCTCAAATCTCTTATCAGGAATTTCTAACTACAACTCCTAATCCTGGGAACTTTTCTGATTCAATAGAGGCAGTTAGGTACATATGAGAAAACAACACTTGGAACATTAACCATGTCTCAAAGTTCTGAAAAGATGAGTAAAGCATGCAAACACAGAATAGGGAAAGCCTCAGGAACATAGGTAGTGGCAACTCTTAAGAGTACATTCCATGGACACAAAACATAGAATCATTGGTAGGATCTGGTATGCTCCAAGAGGAAAAAATACAATGCAATAAGATAGATCCATCTTTACATACACAGGAGCTTATATTGGTGGAAGAAGTATGGTATAGTGGGATGGGGAAAGAGTGCCTTATCAAAGTCTGCCTTTTACAGAGAGATTGTGACATGGGATCCTCTTGTAGAAAAAGGAACTGTATTTTGCAGACATGAAAGAGTTGTCTGGGTTTGAATATGGTTGTCCTTAAAGCATTGTGCCCATGTCTACTATTTTTTTAACTTTGTGACCACAAGTAGCTGACAGAAGTACTGCAAGAGCAGGATGTGTCTGGCTCGATATTTAGTTAAACCTGCAAGAATGCTGAACTATATGTCTAGAATAAGGTTATGTGGGGAGTGGGAAGATGTATTTAGGGAAGCATAAAGGGAAACAATGGGGTCTTTCATAATGATCATAATGTGTTCCTTAAATTGTGCTGTATTTCTTAAAGTCAAAAATAGAAGCTGTTCGTGTAACCTTGGAAAGTAAAATCTCTGTTCAAGTATAAAGACGGCCAGAGCTATTCAGGGCCACTTGAGTGCAATCCACTTGGTGGTATGTTTCCCTTCACTGATGCTCCTTCCTTGCCTCAAGACCTGAACCAGAGCCGAGCCTGGACCCTGGCACCTAGGATTGGCTGGAGATTGCCAATCAATCCAAACTCAGAAAACAGAAGTGAATGAGGATTTTATTTGGAGGTCATAAGAACTGCATTCAAATGACGGGTTTAGACAACTCTGAATTCATGCTCTGGGGTAGGCAGGAAAAGTGACCATTGGAAAGAAACAAGGGCTATGTGACAAATAGATTTCTTTTAAAAGAATGTATGAATAGAATGGAAAATCCAACATCTATAAAACAAGAGTTTGAAAACCTCTTGAAGATCTTGAACCTCAAGGTA